ATTTAATACCTTGACCCACACCTTGGATTTGATAACCAAGTTACCGAGTAAATGATGTGCTCTCCCTTACTACCTTGACTCACAACCCTTCGAAAAACTGAGAACATCATGCTACAAAAAAATACGCTTTGAAATCCAATTCTAAACTGTATTAAAGGGTTTTTCAACATTAAAACAACTTTAACATAAACATTAAAAAAATATAGACGAATATATTGTTGCATCATCCATTGTTAGTTGGACTTTCTAACTTCATCAATTGAATTTATGTGAAATTATAAATTATCTCGCACATCTCCATAATATTCAATTATTAAATTATATAAAAAGTTGTTTCAATTTTTTTTTTATAAGATAAATGTATGTAATATGATAGTGTATACTTAATCTAAGTTTTTCTATTTTTTTTTTTTTGGGGGGGGGGGGGTTTGACCTATTTTTTTTAAAAAAACATCTACTTGACCGGTTAGTCCGGTTCCGATTCGAACTGCTCCCAGCCTCATGACCGGTTGACTATTCCGATTTTACGAACAATGGTTTTTAGATGGAACACCTACTTGCATCTATCTTTAAGATGGATGCTTTACACTTTTTGGATAGAAATGCGGTCTAGTCCGCATAAAATAAGTTTCCATAAAAACATATTCGTTTTAGACCATTTTGGTCTCTCGCCCAAACATCGAGTCTCTTTTTTTGTTGACTCGTTCCTTTTTTATTTTGATTGATAATTATAAGGAAAATGGATATGTATTGTGTGAAAATTTGTATACATCCATTCAATCTGAAAATTTTTGTTGTGGGGTCAGAAAATTGGAAGCCAATCATTTCCATCTCGATGATCATGTATCTAAAAACCGAATATAAAAGTGGATTTGAAGCTTGGGTTCTATTATGCAATACTCTTTCTCGACTATTTATTTCAAGTCTTCACAAATATATCTCATTTTTGGAGCTTCAAGAGTTAGCGAGAGAAGGATTTGTAGGGCATCACAAGGTCCTCTTAATTTGTTTCTTGTAGTGGGGACTGTGGACTTACAAACCTTTCATGAAGTTGGAACTCTATCGAAACCTCCTCTTATTTTTTTGGGCAATTTAGTGGAAAAGACAGGTCCCTTTACGCGTTTTTGAATTATTTGGTGCCTTTTTTTTTTTTTAAGTTGTCAGTTTTTTTTGGGTAATTTAATGAGAAAGACATGCATTTTTTTAATTAGTTAGTGGCCTTTTTTTAAAAAAAAGTTCAGTTTTTTTTGGGTAATTCACTAAGAAAGACAACCCCTACCCATTTTTCAATTCGGTAGTCGTTGTTTTTTTAAGAAAAAAGTTGTCATTGAAATGGAAGCTACAACGTGTGATTTTTTTTTTAAAAAAAGTTCATTGAAAAGAAAGCTACAACGTGCAACTGAAGTATGGAGTATGCTACCACCGTGACCTCGGCCCCTTTCCCGCCTCATCCTAATTGTACATCAAAAAGAGTGTAATTAATGGGTGATGCTTTCATACGGCCGCGTCTTTATATAACCCGCACTTCAAAACCCTTGTAGATTGAGAATTGTTCTTTTCCCACCTTAAAATGCTCTTACTAACACGTGATTGTAAAACTTAAAGAACTCGGATTTAGCTTTTCCAAAGGACGAGTTTCTACGAGTCAGCTGACTCATATGGTACATAAACGGCCTTGAACATAACCCATCTTAAAAATGGATTTTTAATCCAAGATTTTAGGGATTCATGATCTAGGTTAACATAATTATGAATATGAATGAAAAATAAAAATTTCATTATTTAAAATGTGATTCTTTTAAGAAAAATTTCTACGCCGTCTAAATTCATGTTAACCCAAGGGATTTTAACAACGTCCTTCTCATTGGTGAATCAACGGGCTCTTGCACCCACTACTCATGAATAACGCTGAGTCGTAAATAACTTTTCCTTTTCCGAATATGGCATTTTGGGGCCTATTTGGTGGGGAGAGGGATACAGATTTGGGCAATCAAACCTGAATATGGATTATTGAGCCGGAATTTTCCAAGCGAACCCAAAATGTAATTTGGATTGTAAATCAAAAGGGCTCCTGAACTGACTTTTTGAGATGGTTAACCATTTCAATGATATTTTTTTTAGAAAAAAATACAGCAAGAATATATAAAAGATAGGGTTTTCTTTTCTAACAAGGTTTAGAAGGCGTTGGCAACTGTGGAAAATAAAGAAATTTGCACTGATGTTTAGGAACAATACCTCAATTTAAAGTTCTTCCTCCAGATCGGAAACCACATCTGAAACTCTCTTTTACATCAATACTCTGAAATTGACCCTCCCAAACCCTTTTGAAAAAGCGGTACAAAAAAAAAAAATCTTAAAATTTGTTGTATGATTGAGTTTGCTTGTTCTGTTACGCGATTATGTCTGTTTTGGTCTGCGCGCTGCTGCATCTGTCTCGGATCCACACCGAATTCTGCTGGCTCGTCCATATGTCTTTCTGTTTTCTCAGCTGTCTCAACGACTTATTTGTGTCTTCGGTGAAGATCTGAAGTTTTTGTTCATTACTTAACTCTGATTTGCCGTTATGTTCTTGCCTTACGTTTTTTGAGGCTTGTCAATCCACCACTGCTCCGCCGCTGATTTTTGCTCTCATTGATCAAGCATTTGAAAACGGCCGATCTGTACCATCTGCAAAACAGCCACCGAGTCGTGTTTCGACTCTTTGATCTGTCTCTTTGCAGAGTCATGTTTCGACTCTCTAATCTGTCTATCTGCCGAGCCGTGTTTCAACTCTTTGATCTGTCTGTTCCAAATGCCTGTTGATTTGCTGTTATGCGAGATTGCTCTGTTCGAGATATCGTTTTTTGAGAATCGCTAATTTGCAGCTGCTCAAGCATTTTATGTTCTTGCTTTGTTATTAACTTTTGCCTTTATCAGTTGTCCAAACTCAAGTTGCTCTCTCTTAATGCATTTTGAGTTTGAGGGGGAGTGTGGAAAATATAAAAACTTGCGCTGATGTTTAGGAACGATATTTTTTTCCTCTTATGTGTACCCATATTAGGAAGGTAGTTCATTACATATATTACATATTTGAAAGGTAGTTCATTACATATGTTAGTTTTTTTAGTAGTACATAATTTTATAACCCTATAAATTAGGGCTCTTGTTAACATCTTTCATATGGGCAATAATATCATCTTCATGGGGGCTTAAGGCCTAATTATACAGAAATACAATTTCTCACAGCATCAACACGATTCTCAACTACAATGAATCATAATTATCAAGATTGGACCCGATCAGCTGGCCTAACCAGTCAAATTGCCATCCGGTGCCTTGATTGGTCTATTTAGAATAATAACCAGGTTTCGTTGAAACCCAATCAGAATCAATGTTTGACTAGTTTTGACCAGTCTGACTGGTTCGACTGGCCAAACAAACTGAATAACATGGTTTCTTGTATATTATATGTTTTGAAACTATTACTTATAGTTTTTTAGTATTTTTAGAATTTGGTCAAATCCGTTCGACTGACGGCGATCAAACCAGACATGATTGAACTAAACCCCTCGCCGAATTGACGGCATTCTAATAACACTCAATTGGAGTATCTATTGTGTAACAAAAACCCATTTGCAAACTTAGCCTTTCCTATTAAACAAAGAAACATAAATAACGACAAAATTAGATTCAAGGCCCACAATAAGATTGTCAATCTAGCTTCTCACTTGGACCTCTTCCACATATTCTATCCCCTAACAATCCCTTGAAAAATACCTACGACATTATGCGTCACAATTTAAGGCCAAATCAATGTGAATGAGTTTTTGGCTTTTGGGGTGGAGACACCCCTTACCATTCTCTAAAATAATGCCCAAAGTTGACATTGGCACCTTGTCCAAATTTATTTCATAAATTAAGAAAGGCTAAGTCCCAATTGGACCGTTGCAAATGCTTTTTAAGGTAATAAATTGGGCATATACATAGATATGCTATACAAAAATATGCTGAGGATCTGAAATATTTAGATATTGTGAGCTGTCACATTTCAACATATTGTACCTTGGCTTCTTGTAAAGGTATTACCTGTGGAAATGCTATTGTCTCCCTTTCTATCTCATAGATATATACATGCCGACTCTTTATTTTATGGCATGGCGATATCGATACAAGTTGCGAGAGAGAAAGAACTTGGGTGGATATTGGGGCAGTTTTGTGTACTTTTCTTTTAAGTATTAAAAGAACCTGACCTGGCTAATGAATGCCATTTGATTATTATTGGATTAGACTAGTTTTTGACCGAATTTAGTTTTTGTTTGGATTAGACATTTTAAGGCACTAGTTGGTTGGTCCGAACATATGATCCGGTCTAGTTTTGATAGTTGTAGGTTTCTTAAAACCGTTTTAGAGGATCATTTAATTGTTTACTGATGTAAAATTTATAATAAAGAAATGTATGTGATGAGACATTTTACTTTTGATACAAGAAAGTTACAATTACTAATGACCATTGGATTTGAAATTGAGTGATTAAGGATGTATCATTGATTGCGTGCAAAGTTAAAATTTCTGGAATGTTGTAACACTTTTTAATTCATTGAATTTCATATCCAATTATTAAGAATAATTGTGACCTCTTTGTAACAATAATAAATGGTCTCAAAGTTTACAATTTCGTATAATAATAAAAAATTATATACAATGAAACCATTTACCTTTCGCACAAGAAGATCACAATTGCTTATAACTAATCTTCTGATCTGAAATCTTTATATTTTAGGAGTAGGCCATCTAAGTTGCTAGTTTTTGCAATCGTATTTATAGGGCACTAGTAGGCATTCATTAGTAGAAGGAAAAACATATGCTAAATTATGAATATGGAATAATTAAAATTTGGTAGCTCACCACAATGTCTGGTTTTGCTCTCAGGCCCATATCCATCATGTTTTTTTGGTTTATATCTGATGGAAATAAATAGGAAGCCAAAAAAATATAATAAAAAAACAAGAAAAACCCACATAAATCATAATTCAAATAGCTCTTTATTCCATCACAACATAAAAGGAAAACATTATTCAAGCACAACATTAAGGAAAAACTAAAAGCACAACATCCAAATAGAATAACATTCAAACTCCATCTAAGAATAACATCCAAACTCCATCTAAGAATCGGAATGAATATAATCACTCTAAGCCATGAAGCCACACACAGTGGTTCAGAGCTGAAGAATGGGGCTCCCTGGTGCAAATACGGTGGTGTGAGGCTGCGAACCTTATTGATGGGGATGATATGAGGGTGCATGGTGGTTCGAATACACATACCTATTCATGGCTTTGTAGTGGAGGAGACTAGTAGTATGGTGGCGGGGGTGGGGATACGTATTTATATGGTGGTGGAGGTGGGGATGAGTACTTATACGGAGGTGGTGGAGGGGATTTGTAGACGTACGGTGGTGGAGGAGGAGAAGAGTACTCATATGGAGGTGGTGGAGGAGACACGTATACATATGGTGGTGGAGGAGGTGAAGAGTATTTGTAAGGAGGTGGTGGAGGAGACTTGTATACGTATGGTGGTGGAGGAGGAGAAGAGTATTTGTAAGGAGGTGGTGGAGGAGATTTGTATACATAGGGTGGAGGAGGAGGAGATGAGTATTTGTATGGGGGTGGTGGAGGGGACTCGTATACATAAGGTGGAGGAGGTGGTGAGGAGTATTTATATGGAGGTGGGGGTGGTGACGAGTATTTGTATGGTGGTGGTGGAGGGGATTTGTACATGTATGGTGGTGGAGGTGGAGATGAGTACATATATGGAGGTGGTGGTGGTGATGAATATTTATATGGCGGTGGTGGAGGGGAGTTGTATACATATGGTGGTGGAGGAGGTGAAGAATATTTATAAGGCGGTGGTGGAGGAGACATGTATACATAAGGTGGTGGAGGTGGGGATGAGTATTTATATGGAGGAGGAGACATGTATACATAAGGTGGTGGGGGTGGCGATGAGTATTTATATGGAGGTGGAGGAGGGGATTTGTACACGTATGGTGGAGGTGGAGGGGACGAATATTTATATGGTGGAGGAGGGGGAGACTTGTACATGTATGGTGGTGGGGGAGGAGACTTGTACATGTATGGTGGTGGGGGAGGAGACTCATACTTGTATGGTGGTGGGGGAGGAGACTCATACTTGTATGGTGGTGGTGGAGGAGACTCATACTTGTATGGTGGTGGGGGAGGAGACTCATACTTGTATGGTGGTGGGGAAGGAGACTCATACTTGTATGGTGGTGGGGGAGGAGACTCATACTTGTATGGTGGTGGTGGAGGAGACTCATACTTGTATGGTGGTGGAGGAGACTTGTATATATATAGTGGCGGAGGAGGAGACTCGTACTTGTATGGTGGAGGTGGAGGAGATTCGTACTTATAAGGCGGAGGTGGTGGTGATGCATACTTGTACGGTGGTGGATATATGTCGTCGTCGGCAAAGACTCGGGAGTTTGCTATGAAGGTTTGCAAGAGAAGCAAACCCAACAAAGGGCGAAAAAACCAGGCCATAGTGCTTGAGGCTTCCAACATTGTGGAAACTCAAGCTTTGTTGTAAGGTCTTCATTCTCTGAAGAGGTTCTTATAGGGTCACCAAGAAAAATATGTAGTTTAATTAATTAGATTGATTTGGTCTTGGCTTCTCTAATTTATGAATGATTGACTTAGGAAGTCATTTAATTTTTTGCAAATGGCCAAGATTTTCTGGCTTTCAGCAAATAGAAGGCCCTTAATCACATAAGACATGTTTGCATCTACAATTTACTTAAAAAAAAAAAAATTTGCATCTAGAAAACTTAGAAAACGTGAAGCCATTCATATGAATTGAATTGTTCAAGTGATAGGAGACTAATGAGTGTAACATGCCAACCACTCGACATGCCAACCACTCTCTTCTAATCTCCTTTTTCTCTTTCTCTCTCTAATCTCTTTTTTTCGTTCTCTCTCTAATCTCTGAAATTTTTTCTCTTTAATCTCCTTTTTTTCTCTCTTTGATCTCTTTTTTTCTCTCTCTCTAATCTCCTTTTTTTTTTCTCTCTAATGTCTCTCTCTCTCTAATCTCCTTTTTTCTCTCTCTAATGTCTCTCTCTCTAATCTCCTTTTTTTCTCTCTCTAATGTCTAATCTCTCTCTCTCTTCACCGCGTCCCTGTGCTCTCAGCAGTCGCCCTCTCTCTCTCGTTGGGATGCGTACATCAAGGCAGTTATTAGACAGCTAGCTTTGAGCACTAAATAAACAGGGAACCCTACATATGGATAAGGTGCCCTTCTTTTCCAAGCACTACAGGCCTCATCTATTTTATTCCATTTGGGTTCAAGGCGTTATTATTTTTGCTTAATAGCTATTGCCGTTAAACAATACTTGATTTAATATTCCTCACTCCAACCCAAAACAGCAGTAAGATTATAAGATTATTATTGTAACTATACCACATAGGGCAATTTATCACATTACACCTAGCTTTTCAATAATGTAACATTGTACCCTTTTTCAACTATTGTAACTCATGTTCATGTGTATTTTGGAAAGGGTGCGATTTGTATAGAGCCCAGGCTCTAAACGATCAAATTAGAGCTCACATTTAAATAGCTTCAAGAAATATGGTTTCAATATTGAAAATATGTGGGATAACCTTAAAATTTATTTTCATCTTTAATTATAAAATTTAAAGCTTAAAAAATAGTGTAGATCGAGCAGATCTATGAAAACCTAAAAATCTTGAAAATTGATGGTCCAAAAATCCATTACAAGAGGCACTAATTTGATTTTTTAGAGCCTCGGCTCTAATTTTTTAGTTGGACTCCAATTTGATTGTTTAGAGACTAATTTTTTTAGGTGGGTTCTAATTTGATTGTTTAGAGCATCGGCTTTATATAAACTTTTTCCTTTTGGAAAAGCACATAATGAGACCATCTATCATTGGTACAAGGTAGTCACAATTAATCTTGACGATTGGATATGAAATTGGATGGTTACATTTATTCTATTGACTAAGCTCAAACTTCAAAATAAATTTTATCGAACTTTGTAACGTCCCAAACTATCAAATTTCACATTAGATGTTTATAAGTAATTGTGGCAGCCTTGTATCAACGGTCTCATTTATACAATCCCAGAGAAATGAAAGTAAAAGATATAAGACAATGTTAAATAGTAAATATGCCATGTGTATTTTGATACAGCTGCAGTGTTAGCATGCCAGCCCAGCCCGTACCTATGGAAATGCAGCCCCCTTAATAAATATATTTTTTAGATATATTTTTGAACTTAATTTTTAAGGATATGTAATATCTAACCTGGAGATCATGAATATGAAAATAATAATAATAATAAATTAAAAAAAATAAAAAATCGAAATAATAATCCTATCAAGAAAACATTTAGACCGTTAATTTCAATTGTTTTAGATGGACCACATATTTGCATAGCATATGTAGAAATGAGGTCTAGCCCGCATGAAACAATTTTCCTTTTCATAAATTTCCCTACTATAAAAGAAACGCACACCTCAAATCCCACTGGACAATATTGTTGAAACATTAGAAAACTATCCAATTGATGGAACTTGACCTTGAGATTTTAAGCAATTTAAATCTTAAAAATAGTGTATCTTGTAGCACAATATTTGGACAGTCCTTTTTAAAGATTTTCAAGCGTTTATAATTCTTCTTTTATTATATAATAAGGGTTAAATATATTTTCATATTCTCATAGGGGTTCATGGCACAAGAACTACATCTTTCTACAGGTTTAGAGTTGAGCCTTATTTTGGTTCTCTCATGTCAATGCCTTGTATAAATTTCTTTGCACTAAATTAAAACAATCTTACATGCAACCCACTTTATAAAACATTAGCAATTTGGTATTTAATTATTTGGGATGTATTTTAAGAAAAGGACGTACGAGTCCCCAGAGTAATATGTAAAAGTGATGGCCACGTTAATAATCTATTTTCGAAATAAATTTTGACCTTAGATTTTAAGGAATATATCATCCCTAACATGGAGATCATTAATTTGTAACAAAAAAAATTTAAAAATAAAAACTAAAGGAAAAAGTTTATATAAAGTTCCAACTTAAAAATGTAGAATTAAAGATGCACCTAAAAAATCTATTGGAAAATATCATATTAATGTTGAAAAACCCTCTAATTGATCATCTCGACATTGAGATGTATGAATATGAAAAAAAACAAAAAAAGCGATTTTGAGTCCCAGAAATGGTACATCTTGCCACATATGATTTAGACAGTCCATATTCAAGATTTTCATATGTTTGTAGATCTTACTTGATTTTAACCATTTTTGGAGTTTAAAATTTTATAATTAGATATGAAAATAAATTTTGAGATAATCCTAAGAATTTTTTACACCTAAATTACATGTTATGATAAAATTTGGAGGTGTCTTATTTGGATTGTTTAAGGTTGCAACTTTACAGAAACCACACCCAAAACTAAAATTGATTTTTTTTTTTTTTTTAAAGGAAAATTTTGAGCCAATTGACTTTACCCTTTTTTTTTTTTTTTAGAGGAACCACCACTCACATCCATCTTTAAATGGATGACTTACTCCACGGGGGATGCAAATGTAAAAATGCGTCCCCAAACGCATATCCTACTTCCCTTAAGAAAAACTAGAGGTACATATTGTATGCAGATTGCATTTCAGTGCGCTACATGCAGCCTTAATTGTGGAAGAATGGATGCCACTGTCGCCTGTGTTGTTTCCCAAATTAAAAAGGCTTAGGCTGTATGAAAACAAAATAAAGCTTCACCTCATATCTTCATCTAGAAAGCATTTGCGACAATGGAAATCTCCATGATGACTCTAAAATCAATTTTTAACACCGACAATAAAATTTGAAACGTAAACAATATACGGATCTTTTGAATCTATGAACACATAATTTTAGGGTGAAATAGACCGCCTAGATAATTTGTTATACTGTACATTATTTTTAAAGTTGAAATCATAACTTTTTTCACAATCATAATGTTCAAGCTGAGATGATCGATATAAAAGTTTTACAATCATTGAATTTCAATTTTTGATGAGTTGTAAAATGATGCTTTATTTTGATAGGACTGCAGCCCTATCAAGCCATTTTCCAATTAAAAAACATACATAATCTTCATTTAAAACTAAGAGTGTGCGTTATTCAAACTTGAAGGTACAAGAAGACTCAGTAAAAGTTCAAGAAAAGTCTCAAAAAGAAAAAGGAATTGTCTTGGTTTCTTTTTTTTATCTGCATGCTAAAAGCTCAGTAGCAACTTAACCGAAAGAAATGTTTCAGCTGTACTTACCAAGCCACTTGGTATGTATACGCATAGACTTCGTAAAAATTTACTTATTTTCTAACTTGGCATCATTAGTTTAAGTAATAGATACCATCACAAAGAAGGAAATCTGAGATCTAAGCAATCTGCATGGTTTTCCAATTAAAAACCATACTTTTTTTTTTTTTTAAGGAGAAGAAGTCTTTTACATTTGAAAGACTGCAAGGTTGATGGTGATGATGACATCAATTTTTTTTTTTGGCTCTCTAAACAAGGACTATTTGCACACATGTTTTCGTTACTCCCACCCTAAACAAGGGTAGATTTTCCTTAGTTTGTTTTTTTTCCATTCCTACACCAAGTTTTAGGTGGGAATAATGAAAAGACAGATTCTTTCTTTTCGGACTCGAGTTTGAGCTTGATTGATTAAGCTGACAATTGAACACTTCGTACTAAGTTCGAATCCCACTGTTTAGTAACCATGACAAAAAAAAAAAACCTAAAAAATGCTATTTTTGTGATTGGGCCCTTGCCTACCTAAACCCATTTTCCTTGACGATTTAAGGGCATAATTACAAAGAATTTTTGCCCAATGTTCCTAACAAGAAAATTGTAATGAATTATATGGTACATGCCGTGTTCCATAGTAGATCTCTACTAGTGGAACGTTTCGTAGACAGGATGTAACACTCCCTACAATCTGTAGCTTATATACTACAAGCGTGTTTGATCCATGGTTACTGGGAGCGAGAGCGGAAGCGGCTCCGGTTTTGAGTGCAGGAGCTTCGGATCGATGACTGACCGAAGCTTCGGAGCTCGGGGAACGAGTTCTGGTGAGGGTAGAAGTTACGGATCAAGATCCCGTTTGAACAAGGAGCGAGATCCCGATACATTGGGATCAAGATCCCTATTTAACGGGAACACGTTGCATGTATTTACAAAACAAGATCCCATTTGACTAGGGAGCGAGATCCTGTTTGGATAGGGAGAGAGATCTTGATACATTGGGATTGAGATCCCTATTTGATATAAACACAATACATGTAACATGGGATCACACTCACATGATTACACATGGATTCGTGCACCATGTGGAAAATGTTTATATAAGGTTGCAACCATGTGTAATGGAAATAGGTTCTTCATACAAGTGGAATTCTGTGATGGAGGCGTGGACCACCATTGTGCGGCATGCGATCCTAAAATGAATGGAGCTCGATCCTAGCCAAATAGGATCGTGGTATTGTTTAGATGGGGGCGATATTCAATATTAAATGGGATCTCGTTCTTGTTT